AAGCATGGACTCTGGAGCTGGATATCTGGGGTTTGCATCCTGGCTCTGCTTCTGTCCAACTGTGTAACCTAGGCAAATTATCTGGTGTCCCTATGCCTCAGTTTCCCTTATCTGTAAGTTAGAATCATAAGTATAACTACTTCACAGATTCGCTTTTGAGGGTACAATTAATTCCTGCTGAACACTTAGAACAATGCCCATACCTGGGAAGTGTTAACTGTCATTTTCTCTATGCCAGGTAGTAACCAAAACCCTGAAGGGTGTTATTTCTTTTAATCCTCACAATGATCTTGTAAGTATTATCACTGGCTCATAGAATACACGAAAAAATGTAGATGTAGGAAGCTAAGTAAATTTTTCAAGACTCATAAAACACAGGTATGCTGGGATCCAATTCAGGTCTGTCTTGAGAGCACCTCCTATTTACCATCAGGTACTGAATCAATGGAAGGCCTACAGATAGAGATTTATTTTCCTGATTGAGTTGATTAAAAAAAACACCTGATGACCAAGGCAAAGAAGGGCAGGCTTAGGAGTGAGATATGGCAAGATCATGATATCAAGTATATCATGTATGTAAAAAGTTTATTAAAACCAATACTTGCTGTAATTAATGGAAGGTGATTCCATTCCAACAAAAGTATCTTCAGATAGGTCTCTGCTATAAATTTACTATTGCAAATGACTCATATCCGAACAGCTGATGCTATTAATTATAGGAGGTGAACGTACTCAGTTGCTACATGCATGCCAGATGCCAGATAAACATACATGTGGGCTCACACACACATATTTCCTCTTGCTCCCTCTTCTCACTAAAGCCCCAGCCCCATTCCTCAGCTCAGGAGCCTCCAAAACCAAAGCACATTTCCCACTGACTTATGAGCTAAGCTACTTTAAAAAAATGCAGTATGCTGGCCATCTAGTGAATATAACTGTGAATATGTTTAGCAGCCCCAGAATATAACAGTGCCAAGCCCCCGTGGGCCTCCAGCAGGGAACTCTGTTTTTTCCAACAATTCCACCCTCAAAATAGTCCTGGAATTCCCAACCTGTTTGTCTCCAATCAGTTGCAGGATCTTTTGAATTTCCTTTACCTTCCTTTTTTGTGTTCTGGGGATTTTGCTTATAATCTATACTCTCATTGCAGCTCTGGAACCCCTCTGGCTGTGGTGGCTCTTGACCTCAATAACCAACCCTTCTTTCATCCTTTAGTTCCACAGATGATGGTTTACCCTGTTTGTCAATCTGCTCCCGAGTTTAACCCCCTATGCACCATGGGGCTGGCCAAGTTCCCCTGGGTTATCCACCCTGACACATGTCATCAAAACCCTTCCTCTGCTTATGCCTAGCCTAGTTCTTTCATGGAAGGTGACTCTCCCTGACCTCAAAACTTTTTATCTTGCTAAGTTCAATTTCAGTCAGCATATTTGATTCCTCCTCTTAGCCAGGTGCTTGTGGCTGGGAATGCAGTGACCAACAAGTCACCATGCCCTTAGGAACTTACATTCTAGTGGGGGAAAAAGTCCCACAAACAGACAGTTTTTTTAAGAAAAAGTTGGTAATAATAAACAAAGATGAGTCCAGGTCATATCAAAACACAACCCATCCTGGTGATTCAGGAAAGTTTTAAGGAGGAATTTATGTGTTTGGGATGTGTAAGAGTTGAAAATGAGATAAAGAAGAGGAAGGAACCCCAGGTAGAAAAGATGGCTAGAACCAGACAAGATGGTATATACAGGAAAAAGACATGTAGCTGAATGGTGCTGGTACCTCAAGTACAAAGCAGAGTGGGCATCGATAAAGGAAGGGGTAGAGAGGTAGGCTTGGCACTGCCATGCTAAGAAGCTTGAATTTAAGTCCAGGGTTTTATGCTTTTTACATCATATACTATTAAAATTAACGAATTGCATGGACCCTGTTTTGCTAAAAAGAAAAGTCCAAGGTCACACACCATATCCATATCCCTTCAGCTCCCCAGCCATCTCCCCAGATGGAGATGGCTGGGGAGCTGAAGGGATCCCTTTAAATATCTTCTCTTTGTATCAGGGATTGAACCCAGGTGTGCTTAACCACTGAGCCATATCCTTAGCCCTTTTGACATTTTTATTTTGAGACAGGGTCTCATTAAGTTACTTAGGGCTTGCTAAATTTCTGAGGCTGGCTTTGAGCTTGTGATCCTCCCAAGCTGCTGGGATTACAGGAATGCACCACTGTTCCTGGCCCCTTTAAATATTTTAAGCAGGGAATTATCAGATGACCTAGTAGTATAAATATATCACTATGATATGCAAGTCCGTAAGCAAGAAGTACAGTACAATGATGTTCTGTGCCTAGGCAAGCAATGACAAGGTTGTGAATTGGAAGTCTTGAGAAATTATGAAGGCAGTAGATCTTGGTGAGTAACTAAATGTGAGCCATGAAGAAGAGGAGTCAGAGGTAATTTCAGGTTTTCAGCCTGGAAAAATTGTGAAAAACTGGGATAGAAGGCTAGTCAGGAGGAAGAATAATGATTTTCTTCTTAGACATTTGAGTTTGAAACACCCTTGGAACAGGCCAGGTAATAACCAGGCATTTGGGTATATTAGTTTGAAGTCCCAAGGAACAGTCAAAAAGCTAGTAATATAGGTGTGTGAGGTGGTCTTATGAGAATCTATCAGCTTGATTTTTATTGCATAAAAATATCACATAAATACCACCTTCTAAAAATTCACAGCAAAGAATTTTTTCTTTTACTTTATCTACTTTAACATATTTCTCCATAAAACAAAATTCTAAACAAAACCAAAAGATTATTATTAAACAGCATGGTGAGCATAATTAATAACAATGTATTTTATTCTTGAAAATGACTAAGAGAGTAGATTTTAAGTGTTCTCATCACAAAAATATGATAAGCGTGGGAGGTGATACATGTGTTAACTCCATTTAGCCATTTCAAAATGTACACATATTTCATGTGGTACATGAAAAATATAAATATCAGTATTTTTTAAAAATACAAAAGATTCTGCATTTGCTATCACAATATTCCATTGGAATGGAAGAAGGAATTGTATAAGCAGCATAATATTATTGAGAAACATAATTAAGATCTCTAAATTTAGTCCATTCTCATCTCACTGAAGTATCCCTTTCTCCACTTTCACTTTACATTACCAGTCCAACATAAATACAAGTTCAAATCCAATGGGATGGAAAGAAGGCCAAAACAAAATTCAGTTTCAGATCTTAGATGATACTTTCATAGAAAAAAAAATCCTTTGTATTCAGTTCTATGAGACATAGGATCAAATCATTTCATTGTGCCAAAATTTATATATTGATGAAAATTTCTAAGCTACTATACCTGAACATGAAATTGACTGTGGAGCATTCCAACTGCCCCCTCTCCCTCAATTCATTTTTCACAGAACAGCTGTTTTGTAAATGTTTTTGCATAACATTCTCCCACTCAAAATGTCCAATGGATTTCCATTGCCATTAACATAAAACCCAAACTTCTTGCCATGCACTCTCCCACCTGTCACTTCTTTCCCACAGCCCTCCCTTCGTTCACTTTTCAAGATAAATTTGTTCCTGACTCAGAATTATTTTATTTTCCTCAGTTTCTCCCAGAACTCTCTGCCCATAGTATTTCATATAACAGGCTCCTTCTCATCTTTTGTGTATGAGGTCAAAGTTCCACTTCTTATAGAGGGCCTTCCCTGATCACCATTTCTAACCTTTAACTCTCTACCCCACTTCCTCTCACATTACTGTTTTATTCTCTACATAGCACTTATCATGATCTGAAATTATAATTTTTCTTTTGTGTATTTGTTGTGGGTTTGGATACAATCATACCTCAGTATTACAGTGGATTCTTTCTGGATACTCCCCCCTCTACAAAAATTCATGTTTGCTCACATCCTTTACCAAAAAAAAAAAAAAATAGTACAGTATTTGCATATAACCCACATGTTCTTCTGTACACTTTAAATTGTCTTTAGATTACTTATAATATCTAATGCAATGTAAATTGTATGTAAATAGTTGTTACAGTGTATTGTATAGGAAATAATGAAAAATGTCTGTACATATTCAGTACAGATGCAACATAAGTATTTTTTCCAATTATTTTCTATGTGTAGTTGGTTGAATCCAAAAATGCTGATCCCACAAGGACCCAGAACCTGCAGATACAGAGGTCTGACTGTACTTGCTTATTGTACATTGGAGCAATAATGAGTGACTTCCTTTGAATTGTTCCACAGTCTGTAAAATAGGTGCTTAATCAGTATTTATGAAATGAACTGATTAAACCGATATCCCATTTCTATAAAATTAGTAAGTAAATGAAGAAAGCCCTCTGAACAAAGACGCCAGGTTCTAAGTTTGGCACAGGGAATGAGGAGTTCCCAGCTTGGTGAAGACGAAAGGCAATTGTGAAACAATGTGATAATGCTAACAAAGAGGCAAATATAGGGTCTCGTGGTGAGAACGAGAGGCGCCTCATTGCATTTTAGCGATGACTTTACAAAGTCATGAAATCTGAAGGATGAGCGAAGAGGAAACGGGGGCGAGAAACATGGAAAGAATGTGGTGCCAAGTAGAAGGAACAGCGAGAGCGAAACTGTGCAGGAAGTGATGGGAATCTGAGGAATTTTACACCCTTCCCTATCCCTGGAGCTCTCTCCCAGGTAACTGGAGGACTCGATAACATCATAATGTATGAGATTGGGCTAAGAACGATATCTCGCCATACCAGCCAAGAGGTTATGAATAAACCCAAACCTGTAACCTACTAGTCATTTATTACCGGCTAGTCCCTGATAAAGAATTAGGAAGGCTAATTTCGGAGATGCACTTTGGATGAAGGTTTCTGTGACTTACAGGCTGGGTCCTGGAATCTCACCGCGGACCCCCCACACCCGCCGGGTGGAGTCCTCGTCCGCGGACTGAAAGCGGGGGGTGTCGCCTTGACCACGGATTTCATTGGCCTTTCAAAGTGAAACTGATCGTTGATTGGCTGCGGAGATATCCAGCCGCTACACCCCGCCGTTGATTGGATGAGAAGAGGCCAACCTTCCACCACAGTTAGACTTTCCCTGAGTCTGTTGCTGGGCAACCGATTTGCTTCCTCCGGCTCAGCGGACACCTTGTCACACCTGCGAAGCCTAAACCACAACTTGCTGGGACTGTCTTATGCCCACTCTCCTCATTGCCACTTCAAGAGCCAACAACCCGGGTGGCCCCAGTTGCTCATCCATATTTGTGTTGGGAGGGTGGGTTGGCGCTGCAGTAACACTCCGCAGATGAGTGAGACCCCAATTTCCCTTCTGGAAGTCTTCCTTTAGAGGAGTCAGAATAGGAAAAGAAAAGTCATTGTTATATCCCAAACTAAGAAACCGTTTATCTTGGGAATGTTCTGGGATTCTAGAAAGCAAGTGACCTCTGAGACCTAACTGAATGTAGATGGATGACCCAAAACCTCAGACAGGTGGCTCAGAGTAAACCTGAGGAGCTCGCAGTCTTCCTGTGAACAGTGGCAGATCCTCTGCTGCGTTATCATGTACAGCAGAGCTTACATCTTGCTGAAAAGAGACTTAAAAGAGTTGAACCAGAGCAATTTTGTGGTAAGTACTGGGGATGTGGAGGGATTTGTTTTTTCACTGGTTAATGATTTTTAAGAAGTAGTTTAATCCGTGTTTATTCTATAAATCATAATTTAATTAAACCTAATTTGCCACTATGATATTGTTATTTACCAAAACTATTTCATAATACTATTTCTTAAAAATAATTGGCTATCAATTATTTTTAAAAAATAATTTTTAACAATTATGGCTAACAATTTTAAGCATATTGTGCTGAGTAATTTATTGTGGATTTAAGCCCTGAGTATTAGAATCTATCAAGTGGTAAGTAACTAGTAGGTTCAGGGTTATGCTCATTAATTACAATACTATAAAATAATCAGTATTTAATTTTACCTACCAGAACCTAAGTTTTTGAAAGATTCCAAAATGATTTGGCCCAATCTGATTCCAAACTCCTTACTCTTACCCTTGTGTTCTAGTACTTACTGTCTAATGCATTTTTACCAGCATAACACACCAATACATTTCTCTTATAATTTTATCTCAGAGGAATGCAATATCTTTGCCCTACTTTGCCACCAATGAAATGTTGGAATGGGTGTTGGCCAAATTTATGAAGAACGTGAAGTGGATGATAAGAGGAAAAAGGAGTGCTTAAGAAAAAATCTAGAAAGAAAGTCATTCTTAGAAGGAAGGTACAGAATGCTACCAACAGTTGCACTGTTATTTCCAGTTCAGTGTGGTCTGTTTTCACCATGCTATAAAAGTAAAAAGTCCACACTGAAGATATTAGGAACAGTTTATCAACAAATTTCCCAGAGGCATAGACCTTAGATTTCATATTGTCTCTGCTCATTGTGAACTTTCTGGTTCTCTAGCAAAGAGAACTCAATGAAGGGATATATAAACACAGATAATATAGATAAGAGAGAAGGGCTGGGCTGGGATTGTGGCTCAGTGGTGGAGTGCTTGCCTGGTACAGTGAGGCAGTGGATTCCATACTTAGTACCACATAAAAAATAAAATAAAGGTTAAAAAAGTGTAAAGCAGAAATCAGAGAGAGAGAGAGAGAGAGAGAGAGAGAGAGAGAGAGAGAGAGAGAGAGAGATGCTGTTCATCCAGGCAAGCACCTAACAAATATGTTTGTTCAGAAATATTTATTGAAATATTTAAGTGTACTCCTCAACATAATTGATTGGTAGGTTTTCTATTAAACACATTCTGGGCTCTTCATTGGAACAATACTTCAAGTAGAGGAAAAATTCTTTTTACATACAATTGTAATATTGGATTTTTTTCTTAAAGAAAACATTCCTACTTTATGCCTTCCATATAGCATTCATATATCTTTAAAAAGCTTTGAAGAAACATGGGCTTTCTAACTATTTCATACTTTTCTAATTTGAATCTTAAATTGGCTATTGACACAGACACTGTATAAGACACAAACACCAATCTCGATATTCTAGTTTCCCTTGTGATTTTTAATTTTACTATTGCATGAGTTCCCTAGAATCTACCTTAATTTCAATGCAATAAGGCATATAAAACATCCCCAGATCAACCGATAAATAAACTTGTCAACCAATGAATAAATAAATAAAAACTTTTAGAGTTTTTGGAATTCAGTATAATCTGACATCTGATTTTCAAAACTGCAATTAATAATCTTTTGTCTGCTTCTATATTGTTTTTTTAAAGGGTATTACTGCTTTTCCTATAACTGATGATATGCTGAAATGGCAAGCTGAAATTGAAGGTCTACAGAATTCAAGTTTGCATGGTTTGTGTTTTCAAAATCTGCTTTAAAATTTTTTATATCATGAATAGTCTGTATCCTTTGTGTTTATATATATATACATATATATGTATATATATAGTTATATTGTATTATAATTTTCTGAAATTCTTTATATGTTTGAATTATACCAATTCACTAGAATTCTAAAATATTCACATTATTTGCAATATAGAAATGTTTTTGCTATTTTTAAACATAGATTGAAATTCTAGATTTTTTTTTTCCTTTATGCCAGATCTTTTTATTTTTATGCTGAACATTGAACCCAGGGCCTCCTCCATGCTACGCAAGTATTCCAACACTGAGCCACACCCTCAGTCCCAATGTTATCACATTTTTAAAAAGCAAACACAATAAAGCATATTGATTAAGAATATCTTCTAATGTTCTTTCAGAAGATCAGAGAATATCTATTAAAATTCCTATTGACTTTCAAAATCCCAGTTTCTTCTCATTTTACCCACTATGATTTTCCCCTAAATTTCCATAACAAATTCTTAAGAAGACTGACTGGATCACTGTAAACTTTAATGACCATGTGTTCTTTCAATCATGAGTTAGCAAGACAGATTCCTTGAGTGAGGCAGGGGAGATAAGCTGATAATTACAGTAAAATATAATTTGTACTACTAAGAATTTTGAACAGAATGCCTAAGAGGGAGTGATTGGTGAATTATTCCTGGGAGAATCAGGAATGTCTTTCCAAAGAAGTGACATTTGAGTTGAATCCTGAAGAATGTTTAAGAGTTTGTCAGGTTCAGAAGAGGGAAAGAAATTCAGGCAATCAGCACAGCAAAGCTGCAATTGAAAGCAAGAAAGGGTGCAGCAGGTTCTGGTGACTTTAGCTTTAGGGGAACAGAGGTGGTGGAAACAAAGGACTGATGGGAAAGAGGCTGCAAAGTAGCACAATTAGGTTGTGAAAAATGTTATAATACCCAAGGGGGTCTATGCACCGTGAAGCAATTGACTTAAGCAAACCATCAGGAGAAACTCCAATGTTAATCAGATTGGAGTTCACCCGCACAAAGTGGCACTTCAATAAAATCGTTTATTTCTACATCATAGGATTTGTTTTACAACTGACAATAGAATTTACATCAGAGTACAACCTTGCCCCTCCAGTTGTGAAATTTACAACAATTCCTTTTCATCCAAATGGTAAGGACTAAACTGAGATTTTTTTTTTTAATTATCAGGGGCTCTGTATCTATAATACTTATTCTTTATTAATGTTTAATGTAATTATGTTTCTTTTTAACAACTTGAATATGATTATGTGTTTGTTGGGGAAACTGTGAAATTGAAGAAAAAAATTATGATCACCTCGAATCCTAATGCAAAGAGATATTACTTTTAATATGTTGACAAATTTATTTTCTTTTTATGTATATATATTTTTTCTACATAGTTGAGGTATTATATATAGTTTTGAATCCAAGGATGCCAAACCTATACATGCAGAGGACCTACTGTAACCTAAATGCTCCTTATTACAGGAATTCTTAAGTGAAAAATCCCTTGTGATATCTTTTACCTTTAAACAAATCAAGGAAGATCTATGAAAGCTAGAATCTTGTTCATTGTTATATCCCTAGAATCTTCCTTGTTTGGTACATAGGTACTCAAATATTTTTTGATAAATATTTATGTCTGGAAATATATTAACAGTTCACTGTTACATAAAAAACCATTTTGAACAACAAAATGTAAAATATAATTACATTTAATAAATACACACACGTGTGCATATGTATATGTGTATGTAGCTTTTATGGACCAACTGGTAATAACTGAAAAGTGGAATTGGTAGACAGGGGAACATTTGTATTTTACTTTATATTCTCTTATGTACTTTACCCCCCAGTACATTATTATTTTTGTAATTAAAATCTATTTTTGAAATTCAGAATGTAAAATTGTGCCATATTTGGTTTAATATTTAGGACATTCATGGGTTAAATTCAATAGGATGTATTCTTACCCCTAGGCCTCACTCCTCACATGGAGTAGAGGCAATTTCTGTCTCTAGGAGGGAAAAATATGGGAAAGCCTGTGATTGTTTTTTCCTCCCCTACTCGTCCCAAGAGAAGTCACTTACCTGACTACGGAGGTGAGGGAAGGAATTGATCACCTGTGGCCTAGCACTTTCTCAACACTCTTTCTTTCCAACTATCCTGACCTTGGAATGGGTACAGTCTGTTCCTCCAAGCAGGAAACTTAAGCAGGCTGTTAGTTTGGTGGGTAAGTTCAAATCAGAGAGACTTTTGTGGAGCCAATTAAAGCCATTGATCAAATGTATCTTCCATTTCAGTCTCACATATAGCAAAGCTGATGCTAACTTCCTTCTTTTAACACCTTGTTCTGTTTCATACTTTTATGTGAACTTAAGAAAAGAGGAAGGTTATATATTAGACCTCCAGTCCAGAAAGATAGCTATGTATAGTTTTATATAATTATTTTAAATTTATATAATTATTTTATATTTTATATAATATATATGCAAATTGTCTTTCAATGTAATCTGCATTCCCACCAGGAAATGTATATCAAGTTCTGTTTAGCACCGTTCAGTTCTGAGCATAGAAACTTTGGAGAAATTTTTTGCCTAATTGATAAGAATCTTGCTATTATTTTTTAAATTATTATTATTATTTTCTTTACATTGTTGGCACTCAACCAGTGTCTCATACATGCTAGATTGCTATTATTCTAATAAACACTTCTTTGAATACTTGTGAAGTAAACAATTTTTTCACTTTTGTGATTATATTTCTAATTTGATGACTTATATGACATAATTTATAATATCATCATTATGTCATAGATGTTGCAAATATTCCTAATTTGTCACTAATTTTAATTTTGTTCATGCTGTTTTCTTTTTACATCTAGGATTAAACTTTTTTTAATGTAATCAGATCTATTAATTTTGTTATTTGTGGTTTTTGCCATTCTCTTTAAGTTTAATGAGTTTTTGTGAAACAAAATCTAGTAATTATTTTAATTTTCTTCTAGTTATTCTATAGTTTCATTTTTCATATTTGGCTCTATTCTATTTTTTTTTCTTTAAACACTGAATTAGTTAATTAGCTGTGTGAGGACATAAGCCAATGTTTGGTATCTTTCCAATCTAATATAACAGACTGGAGGGAAGTTCCATCCCATCCAACATGTGGATTTCATTTCTGGTCTAGGCATTTTGATATTTATAAGTTTCAAAGGATAATATTATTATATATCAACATCAATGTATTATTTTAATACAGTAGACCCATATACTGGTCAGCCCTGTGTAGATTTTTTGGACAACCCCAAGATGTGGAATACAGGCTATACATTGAGCAGTATCTTACTTGCCCTACAGGTAAGAATAGATTTATTATAATGCTTTCTTTAATACCCCATTTATTCAAAACACAAGGATCAAAATGTACAATGCATATTTAAATGTTTAAAGGATTTGAGAAAGCTTATGTAAATCAACATTCTATATCTAGACACAAAGTGGAACTTACGTTATAAAGATTTTTATTTTAATTTGAAATTGTAATTAAGGGCCTTTACAACCAGAGAATACACATTTTATAATAGAAGAAAATAATGGTTTGAATGGTTTCAATTGTAGAAATATAGTCTTAGGTTTTCTTTTGGCTCTTAACTTTATTTCCTAATACAAAACAGGCCTTTTAAATCTTTCCTCATTCATGAACCTTGCCTTCTTCAGAAGAGGTGAATCACATGACTATAACTTAAAATGCTTTATTTTATCCTGTGTTCTGACAGTGCTGGCTAGTTTCTCTTATAAATGTTCATATCAAACCCAGCAAACAATTAAACCAGGAATTCTCTCCTCTCCTCATATAGGAGCCTGTTTCCCAAGTGCCATCACCTTTATGCCCTGGACCCACGGTCCCTAGAAGCATACCTCTGTCTTATGTTATTCCTGACCCTTAAAAGCCCTCCTCTCTCATCTTATGCTAAAATTATTTCCATGACATTTGTTTTGACTACTTGGATCAGGCTTAGCGCTATTCTATCTAGGGACTTACTTATCATTAATAATATCTGGAGATAAAGTATTAACTTTTGATTATCTGAAATACTTGGAGAACAAAGGAGTTTGACTTAATTGAATTTTCTCAACAGAATTATAATACAAATCCCATTTCTCCTACTTATTTTTTTAAATGAGTAAAATAATAGTTAATTTCCCTATCTAGGCATCTTAGTTCACTGAATGAGTAAAGTGTAATCTTTTAAAAAGATTTCATGTCCAATTCAATCATTATTTTATTCTACAAATATGTGTTAAGCCTCTACTTGTATGAGGCTGATTCTGGGAAAGAGACATTTGAGCAAAAATTTCAAGGAACTGAGTGAATGTGCTATTCAGGTATCTGGGGTTGAACTTTTGGATCCCTTTAAACTGAGACATATTCCTTTCTCTTCCATCTGAAATACAGTCTGTCATAGAATAATAAAGATGAATGTTCCCAAAATGTAATGAGTGATGGAAAACTGGAATGAACTGGTGAAAATTTTGAATTGAAGAATAATGTAATGAAAGGAAAATTGGGGTTCTAAGATTGCTTGCCTTCAAATCCTGTTTTTTCTACTTGATATCCTTGCACTGTTGGATAAGTTTGTCTCTCCATACCTCAATTTCTTTAGCTACAAGAAAGGTGGTTATTTGGGCTGGGGCTGTAGCTCAATGGCAGAGCACTAGCATTGTGTGAGGCACTGGGTTCTATCCTCAGCACCACATAAAAAAATAAATAAATAAAATAAAGGCATGCCATCCATCTATAACTAAGAAAACATTAAAAGAAAGAAAGAAAGGCAGTTATTAGTAGCTACATCATGTGACTTGTGAGGTTAAATTAATGAGTACATGTGAAAGTAATTGGAACTGTGTCTACTCCAAGAGCACAAGAGGTGATAGTAAATATCATGATTATTTTTACTATTAAACAGTCAAGCAAAGTGACCACAGGGTGTTGCCAAATATATTGAGAAAAACTAGTAGATAATACAGTTACTCATCTTTTTTTTAATATATTAATAAAACAAGTATGTCACATCACAGAAGATTGATAATGTAAAGGGAAAGAAAACAAAATCACTGATAATCATAAAGGAAAATCCCAGCTCTATTGTTATTAGTGTTTCTCCCCTGGGAACTTTTTTAAAGAGATTACCACATAACTAATTTAAAGGTTAAATCTTTATTTCTTTTTGCCATTTTAGCAGGATGTTTGATTTATACATTTTAAAATACACTTATATACCAGTTCTTAAAAATCATTAAATACACATAATAGCTTGTGTATACATGAGGTGAATAGGTCTTGGGCCTAGTGGTTAATAAGCAGACTACTGAATAAACTTTTCCAGCTGTGCTTCTCTGAGTAAGATTATCTTTCCAGCCAAAGACCAAAAGTTTGCTCTTTGAAGAGAAGTTTCATCTGCTTCCCACCCACTTTGAAAGGTATATTACGATCTACACTGAATCCTTATTTTGGTGATTTAATATTCTTGGAAATATGGCTTAAATGTGTTTTCCAAACAGGAAAACTCAAGTAACGGCAGACAATGCTTGTTGCTTTGGAAATAACAGATGTCAAATGATTGCTTTCATTAGTAAAAGATTGCCATAATTTCCATAACTTTTAAGCCACCATGATTGACTTTGTTCTGTGTCTACAAATAGGTATTGTATTAGTAATGCATAATTTGTAGTAGTTTTAATTATATTTTATTATAGAGTTTGCATGTCGCATAATGTTCAAAATACTGAATTATTGAATAAATACTTGCAGTTTGAGGTAAGATAATTTTGAGGTGCCAGATAAACAAATCATGGTCTAGCAGAACTATTCATTTCTAATTCCCACTGATCTCATTTGGTCAAGGGCACAGATACTGCAGTAAGCAAAATTTTAAAGAGTTCCCCCTGAAACTGCCATCCTCCAGTTATTCAAACACTAGACTAAGTACTATTGTGAAAGCACTTGCAGAGGGAATTATGGTTACTAATCAGCTGGTATGATAATAGGAAGGTTGTCCTGGATTATGCAGATGGACCAAAGTAATCATGAGCCCTCAGCAATAGAAGAAGAAGGCACAAGAGTCAAAGAAAGGCAGTGGAAGGAGAGGGGATGTGGGCAAAGGGGATGTAAGAGAGATTCCAAGCAAAAGAAAATTTGTCATTCCATTGTGTTCTCAGATCCTCAGAGTTCACTGCAGAGACTGGAGATAGGTCTCTAGGAGCTGAGGGTGGCTCCCAGGTAACAGCCGGTGAAAATAAATAAAATCCAGAAAGGAACTGAATTGAATTCATTTCACCCTCTGAGTGAGCTTGGAAGCAGATTCTTCCCAGAATCATCTGATAAGAGGCCCAGCAATCACTTTGATTTCAATCTTGTTAAACCCAAAGTGAAACCAGCCCAGCCAGAAATGTGAGATAATAAATTTGTGCTGTTTTAAAGCTGCTAAATTTGTGGTAACTATTACAGCAACAATAGAAAACTACTACAGATATGGTCTTAACCATGACCTGGAGGGATATCGACGTGTGAGCAAGCACAAATGTGCTAGTTTATCCATGTATCTAATGTGATCTTATGTTAAAATGTGTTAACCCATGTACAGAGATGTTTCAATATTCCTTAATGTTTATTTCCATTTATGCATAAATCCAATTTAAATTTATATGACAGAAAGAAATGTTATAGGAAAGAACTTTTAACGAGCTCTGATCCTAGTTTAAACCAAGATAGATCAAGAGTTTCTTCAGAGTACAGATTCTGTTGTGCTATCTTTATATTGATCTCTAGGTCTATACAGATATGCTTGTTGAGAGCTGTATGTATTTGTCTGTCTTTTTGTGAAAACGTTTACTTTAAAAACTCACATACATTGTGTGTTTTCTTTTAGGTTATGCTTTCTTACCCAGTGCTGGAAAACCCAGTGAACATGCAAGCGGCCCAAATGCTGATTAAAGATGAATATATGTATAGAAAAATAATTCGAAAGCTCTTCCAGGAGCCATTAAAACGTAAGGAAGACTTGTTATTTGGCAACTGTCATTTATACAATAAGCATTTATAGCAAATAAATGATCTAACAAATAATTGTTGTAGAAGGGAATATTTGAATATTATAGAGGGGCCTATTTACTCCATTTTCACTAATGAAATGATACTAAGATCTCTTCTATTATAATTTTTTGTCAATCTAATCAGTGATCCTTTTTTAAAAATCAGCAAAGATGGGAAGTTCAGTGTCTTTACATGTTATGGAAGCAGATTCTTCCCAGAATCATCTGATAAGGTCATAAGAATGGATGGTGCCTACCCATCATAATATGATATCTTTAACTCATATCTGTAATGGATATTTCCCAGACTTTACCTGCAGTACCCTAGATGTTATTCAAGTGAGAGTACTTTCCTCTTGATTAACAAAACACTCAGCATTTTCTTCTGGAGCGTTCCCTCCCAGGTATTCCTTCTAATAGGCTCGTGGAATTGGCATCTGAAGCTCTCCAAAATCTGCTTTAAGGTCCAGTGTTTTTCTGATACTCTGGTATCCTCCCTGTGACTCTTGACTTTGGCTGTGTTGCTCCTGTGCTTTCTTTCCAGTTAGCAGAACCCGGAGGGCTTTTCCCACAGGTGAGAACTGTTCTTTCCTTTGTATCTCTGTCCCTCCTCCTAGTAAGTAGCATAAAACTACTTTGCATAGCAGCTGGTATCATTACCTCCCCAGCCACTGGGCTTTGACCTTTACTGGTGTTTTTTCTCTCTTATTTCTATTGTCTCTTTTCCAGTCCCCTTCTAGGACTCCCATCCCTGCCCCTAGTCCATTAGCTAGGTCTGCACAATTGTGGCCAAGTTCAACTCCTTCTCTTCTACAGGAATTTTGGGTCTGATGCAAATCAAACAATATCGATCAGGCATCTTTCCCAGTATCTCCAAATATGTCTTGGTTTTCTCAGAATTTTTCAAACATTCCCTGACATTTTTTAGTTTGATCTCTACACAGAGAGCAGTACTGCTTCACTTGGACCACATTTCTGAATCTACCAGTATTCTGTAGCATTCCCTGCTGTATCCTCTGGAGAACAGTACTGGCTTTCAGTAAATATCTGTGGGATGAATAAAGAAATGATATATACCACATAACCTTCCACTGAGGCCGATAGTACTAGCATTACAAAGAAACATTCTATATAACAAAGTTATATCAGTATTTCTGGTGAGTGACTATTTTCAAAACTGGTTCTAAAGAATTTTCTGCAATAAATGATTTTGCACAATAGATTTTGAGTTTTCCCTACAGAAAGAAAAGAGAAGATACCTGATGGAGGTCAGTCCTTTCTTTTGTCCTCCACAGGTAGACATCAGCCTTTATTTCTTTCAGTTCTCCAACTTTGCCAGCACGCCTTCCAGAAAAGCTGCTCACATTACCACACTGCCCAGGAAATGAGTGACAAACCAAATAGTTTGGAAGCTTTCACTTAATTCACTTATGTATGTTGGTGAAATGTATGGAAATACAATAGAGTATTTAAGTGTCTACTTATTTCTGCCATCTTGGCTGGGCCAGGAATGGTAGTGTGGGATGCCAGGAAGAGAAAATTTTCCACAGCTTCATAGAGAAAGAGTGTCCTAATATAGTAGAGGTAGTGGCTACACATCAGGAATGAGGAAGTGGCAGGCACTTGTTCACTCTAAATTAGATGGTAGTATGTTTCTGTTGGAAACTGCATCCCATAAGAATTAATTACTTGTAACCTCTGGGGAAATGGTCTACTAGAATATTAGTAGAATCCTTTCTCATGTTACATATTTAAAATACCAGTACAGAGATCTAGGGAAAGCATAGGAAGAACTATTGTCACAGTTTTAAATGACACAAAACTGGAACAGATAATTAATTGTGTAAACAAGAAACAAGATGCAGCTAATTGTGTCATCTTGATAGTCATTAATTATAGAGTAGAACTCTATCCTTGGAGCCTGGTGTAGTGTCTGACAGGAGGTATTGCATAAAAATTTTGTAGAATGAGTGAGAAAAAAAAGGCATGAACTTAGATCCAGATTTTACTTCATCATTTATTTAGTACTTTCAAACACATGTAATCATCTGATCCTCACATTCTCTTCCTCAGTGAGGAATCCAAGGATGACTTGATTAACCTAAGGCTACACAGAGCAAGCTGCTGAGTCAGGGCTTCAGCCTGGGCCTTCCCACTTTCCTGTTGCTTCCAAGTTTAATGGAACAAATGTAAAATCACTCTTTTAGGGTCAAAAAATTAAAATTTGCAAGTACAGATGGAAGACTGACTTGATAGAAGAACTTAATTCTACGAAAAAGTTCTTGTGGGGAGATATTTGCTTATAAACCATAGTAGAAAAGTATCCTCTTACTAAGTATTTTTTACATTATCATTTTACCCTACTTTGATCTGGTGGTCCTTATGTAGATTACTTATATGCTCAATTATAACATCATGGTTTTTGCTGCTGAAGAAAATGTGTATGTTTAGCCAATGGAAGAAAGAAAATCAAAGTCAATGATAAAAGCTGTTTTCAAATTTTTGAAGAGAAGTACAGAAAAAGAGATTTCTTTGTTGCTCTGAAAAACCAAGTAGGACTACATTGAAGTTAGAATTCTGTCATATTTCCTATCCCTTCTATATTGTAGTCACTGAAGTCCAGAATTTACAGGTTTGGCCCAGCCCCATGTCAAAATATATCTGGAACACACTGGGGATTTTTTCCCCTCATAATCAAGTATCTGGAATAAATTGTGTTATCCTAAGATAAGTTTGGTATTTGATATGCAGATGCAAATGCCTCTCATTCCCCAAACTCTTTCCTGACATCTGCATAGCTAGTTAGGTCTTTGCCTTGACAAGAAGATACCAAGCTCTGAGCTCAGACCCAATGGGTGGTGGCCCAGTGACCTTCCCATGTCCTGATAGCCTCCTTTCCTTTAGCCATATCCCTGTCTCCCTTAGAGTGTTCATATACCCCTAACTACCTGGCACAGTCCTGGTGCAATGATTTCTAGTACTCCTTTTCCCTTGCAGTAACCACTTTGCACAATAAGTTATATAGCCAGTTGGGTACCTAACTGATCTTTCCTAGAAGTAAATACCATTGTAGTTGCCGATCCTTATTGGTAAAGTCCATCAGCTCCCAGCTGGCTGAACATGAAGAAGAATTCTCTTAACAATTCAAGTAACTTAAAATAGTGGACAAGGTCAGAGACAGATCTCCTATCACTAATGCTTTTCTTTTATAACTGGTGTTTATTTAGTAGTTACATGACTGTTTCTCAGGGGTGTCATCAAAGAAGTTCTTACTTGGTTTTAAGAGTTGAGCATGGAGGCCTTTCAAGTACCTTCAAACTTATACTTTAGTCAGGTTACAAAAACTTGGAGAGGGAAGGTCTGTAAGGAGAGAATGCATGGCAACTTTGCCTTCTAGATTCTGAGTATTGTTTCTTCCCAATTTGTTACAAAAGAATTTTATTTGACCTCTATGGATTTTTAAAAGTTTGTTCTTGTGAATTGTGATTTGTGTGTGCTTATATGGTCAAATGGCTATTTGTTTTCTGTTTGCCACGGTTGTTTTGCTATTTTAAAACATAAGGTTTAGGGCTGGGGCTGTAGCTTAGTGGCAGAGCACCTGCCTTGCACATGTGAGGCACTGGGTTCAATCCTCAGCACCACATAAAAATAAACACATAAAATAAGGTATGCTGTCCATCTACAACTACAAAATTTTTTTTTAAAAAAAACATAAGGTTTAAAGAATTTTAAAAATCTTTGGTTGAAGGAAAATATGAGGGTAAACTGAATAATGGTAGCTAAACCTGAGATTCTTTTTTCTTAGCCAGGTATATTCCTATAGCTTTTGACAAATAAAGAAAATCTCTCTTAATAAGTTTCAGACACTTGTCTAAGTAACCTGTAAGCTTTTGACAAATAAAGAAAATCATCTTAATAAGTTTCAGACAATTGTCTAAGTAACCTGTAATGCAATAACTAGCAGATGAGTCAATACTAGGATAAAGGGAATTATAGAAATATTATGGAGAATATAATGCTTTAATTTACATTAAACTTTTAAGAACCTAATATTTATGCAAATAAATTCTGTTCTGCTTATGGCTAGGAAAACGTTGTGATGAGCATTTGATTCTTTTCCAGCTCAAATTCCAAATTATTTCACTATTTTTTAAAAATCTTTTTTTTTAAAAAAAGAGAGAGTGTGAGAGAGAGAATTTTTTTTAATATTTATTTTTTAGTTATCGGCGGACACAACATCTTTGTATGTGGTGCTGAGGATCGAACCTGGGCTGCACGTATGCCAGGCGAGCGCGCTACCGCTTGAGCCACATCCCCAGCCCTTAAAATCTTCTTAACAACAGGGCAATTTTAAAGAAAATTGCCTCTACAAATGAGGCAAGTAATGTCTCATAAGGTTTTAGTTCTGTTTTGTTTTTTGTTTTTTGTTTTTGTTTTGATTTTTAGAATGAGTACATATAATTTTTTTGTTCTTGTTGTTAGATGTAGGAATACCTATCCACCTGGATGTCCAGAGAAAAGAAACAGTCCAATAGCACTGCTCTCTCGCTAAAGAACATGAGTTTTAACACTGTCGTTCAGAACCAATGATTACAGTAGTTTTACAAATGTCCTGTTACTTACAGCTATCATGAGATACAGAAAACCTGTTTTTAACAGGGTGGTAGCATATGGGTCTATTTGCTGTGACTATACACTTCTACACACTTCTTTTTCCCTGTTTGTATTTTAGTGCACCAGATAGACCAGGAACATTTTAGCAAAGTCTCTATAGCTAAAAATGTTAAATATCTATTTTCTATCAAAGAAGTATATGTTTATAGCTTTGGGGAACATATAATAGGAATCGATTCTTCTGAAAGAAAGCGAACCTCAGAAGCTCACATATTTTATCCTTGAGTGCTGCCCCCCAGAGGCAGTGACTGCTCAGCACAATTGTTCCAGCACTGACCACTACATTTCTAGGCTTACTCTGTGCTAATATTTCTGAAGTTTTCAATTTTAGATATTATTTATAGATGTGGTCTTATGAAATAGAAAGATTTGTCTATTATGCTGCCATTCTCTCCCACATTTCCTCTGTCTCTTCCTCCTAAAATAGTTTGGTTACATTAATATGACTAAATATTCATCACAAATAAGCCATGAATGAAGCTCTTTCTTTTCTTTTACACATGGTTTGATTTTTCATTCTCTGTTTTTTATAAATCTTCCCTCTATTCTTCCCCTAAACTTTCTAACCAAGATGTGAAAAGACTCCCAGGGAGTCAATCAATGTTGGATCTGTTCCACTTTCCCCACTCCCTTCCTGGAATATCTCATCCTCTTTTAATTTCAAATTGGCAGTTTTCCGGCAGGTGTGCTGGAATGTTCCTTTTGTCTGCCTTCTGGGTTGGAGATCTTGTTCGATGCCTCATTTTCCTTTGGTTGGTGTGTTCCTTCATTTTCTCAGAGGACACTCTTCAGGAACTTCCTGCTACACAAGGTCTAAATATAATTTTCCATTATTTTCTGTGATTATTCTACTCTTATATGCTCATGGTTTGGCTGCCTTTTAGTTTGGAAATAACTTTCTTTCAAAAATGTAGAAACACTATTCTCTTTTACTTTCTAGAGTTCCTTTTGTGAAATCTGATGTTATTCAGTTATCCAGTTCTTCACACATAATTCTTGATTTCTGGAAGCTTTTAAAATCTTTTATTACCAGTGATTGAAAATTTCTTGACAATGTTACTTAGTTATATTTTTTGCTGTTCCCCCCTCCTTCCATTCACTGTACAGGGCATTTGATAAGCTATAGAAATATCAAAATATTATCTTTCAGTTCCAGAAAGTTCTCTTGTAATTCCTTGCCCCCCCCCCCAATTTTCTCTTTTGTCTCCTCTTATAGCTCCTATGATTGGGACATTAGATCTATTGATCTGATTCTTTAGTTCTTAAAATTGTTAGCACAAAATGACAGAGCCAGGTGCAAACTTCACAGAGCAGCACAGCCTTTATTCAGCACTGGAGTCATGCCTCTGGCGGACCCACTTTCCTGATAGAAAATGAGCCACTGGCCAAGGGGGGAGTCTGTGCTTATATAGGTTACACTGAGACTTAATTATCGACAAAGCGTGTCAGGTTGGGCACTCAGGAAACAAATTTGTGAGAATTTGTCCATTCATATGATGAACATATAATGAATGGTCTATTTATTTTTTAAATTAATTAATTTTACTGTCGAATGCATTTTGACATATAGTACACAAATGGAGACCAACTTCTTATTCCTCTGGCTGTACATGGTCAGAGTCACTCCACTAGTGTAATCATACATGTATATGATTACATGTAACAATGTCTGTCTCTTTCTACTGTCCTTCCCATCCCCACAATCCCATCCCTCCCCTCATTCCCCTCTACACAAACCAAAGTTCCTTCATTCTTCCCTACTCCCCTGCCTCACTATGGATCAACATCTGCTTATCAGAGAAAACATTTGGCTTTTGTTTTGGGGGATGAATGGTCTATTTAAAAGATTGGAAGTTCTGCATATAAACTAGGTTTGTTGATGGTTTTGTTTCATCATCTAGCTGTTATTCAGGAAGAATCTGACCATTTACTTAGGCTTGATTATTTTTCCTGAGAGAGATCTTCCAGTCTGTGGCAATAGAGAGAGGTGCTTATACTCTGAGAGATGGACAGGAAAAGGGTCAGGATCTTGCTGTTCAGTATGAATTATCTTATTTTCCCTGGTTTTCTATCCCTTACCATACTCCCGCTCTGTGTTTAGTATCTGCCAGTCCTGAGTTCCCCTTGCTCTAGAGGTGTCTTCTCCAGAGACTGGAAATTTCCTATATAAATAGTAAGCATCATCCATCATGCCTGGAGCAGGGTCATCTGGTACCAAAGGATGAAGAGGCTGTGCTCTGTCTTTCACTCCTCCTTTCAGAGTTAGCAGGTAGCTTCAGTTCCCGAGTTACTTCTTAAATTCTGAAGTCCAATTTCACTTGCTTTTTATTGGCATCCCCTCATCATACAGATAGTTATCAAATTTTAAAGATAGTTATTTACCACTTGACATCTTCTTTCCATCTTGAAGATTTTTCTTGTCATTTTTCTTTTGAGCTTCTTGAGATTTTTTATGCCTTATTTTTTATTCCTTTATTAGCACTTTATTGAGACTTCGGAAAGAGTGCACATAAAGCCGTATATTCAATCTCCAAATAAACCAGAATCCTTTCACCTTTTTCTTTACAGTGAAGGATGATGACATGCAGTTATCTCAAGACCAAGATAAATTGGTCAGGTAAGCTTTTCATTGTATACTTCTCTGTCCATTTATTTACCAAAAGGAAAATTGATTTAAACTGCTTATATTTTCTATAATCACTAAATTTTAATTATTTTTAACTTGGAAAAGGGAGTAGTTAGGTGTTATTTTTACCTTATGTGTTTGCTTTTAAAAAATATGTTCAGGAAGAATGTGGAAATTATTGAATTCTTTCTATTGAATTTAAATTAAATGTAATTATATGAACTGAATATTATAAATATTAAATTATTATTATAAGTAATAAAAATATTATTCTATTCTTAATTTTGAAAAGGAAAAGGTTTTGTTGACAACAGAATGAGCACAAATCATTGTAAACCATAAAACTTTAAGAAATTTAGGAGAAGATTATGTTTATAGGAAAATAGTGATAGGGTTGAGGCCATTGTACCTTTTGGAGATAACCTGATAATGTGACACCAATTTTATGGTGAGCACCTCAACGGGTATAGGCAGAAGCTCAGTTACAATTCTGCAGCTTTTGCTTTCCTGTGAATTTCCACCCACTTTACCTTGTTAACGGATCAGAAGTAGAAAACAGCCACTTAGCTAGTGTTGAAACAGTGTTTGATTTAGCTCCTTCACTGGCTCTAAATAAGAGGGAAATTAGGCAACTTAAGGGCCTTCTGTTTATGCAACAGTGTTGGAAACTTGCAGGAAGATAATGTATAATCTAGTGAGTGAACAGTGCACTAGGTTGGAATTCAGTAGAGGCATAGCTGTCCCTTAAATACGTCAATGTGGTCCAGAGCATTCAATTATCCACACAGAATAGACCTGTAGTCCAGTGCACAAACACTATTTTATCATCTGTAAAACACTGAAGTCCCCCGGAACATAAAAAAGTCATTTTCTATATGTAGTATAGTTATTTTCAGTGCATAAAGATACAGTGTCAACATTAACTAATAAAGCAGTAGGAACAGACCTGAAAGCCTTCTGTGATCAAGCTTCAGTAGATTCTCTGAACTAAACCAAGGATAAATGACACCAGAATTAGGTCTTGTGCCATCCCGAACTCTCTAGAGAAGACCTTAGGCAAAACTCAGAGCAATAATCTAGATTTCAGATATTCTGCACTCCTGGTGTATATCAGGATGCAATTTGTTATGTATTCATGAATTCCAACATTTGCCTGTGGTAGTTTTTTTTTTTTTTTTTTTTTTTTGTGGTACTGGAAATTTAACCCAGGGCAATTTGCCACTGAGCCACATCCCCAGCCCTTTTTATTTTTTATTTTGAGACAGGGTCTTGCTAAGTTCCATAGGGCCTTGCTAAGTTGCTGAGGCTGATCTTGAACTTGCAATCCTCTTGTCTCCGCCTCCCAAATTGTGGGATTACAGGCATGTCCCACCAAACTTGGAAGTACATCTGTTCTTAAATTGAGCTAATCTGTATCTAGTTTTTAGTTTTAAAATAGTGTATTCACAATGATGTCCTTCAGAGATTATTTGGAGATGCTGCTGTTAGCATTGTAGTGTTCTAACACCATAGGCTTAGAACTTCTCATTACTTCATGAACTGGAAGAACTGATCTGAATATAGAAACATATTCCAGAAGCATAGCCAGACAATTAAAACACTGTTTACAAAAGACATAATAAAACTCAGGTGAAGTCTGGTCAGCTGGGTAGAATATAATCAGGGGAAATCAGTTAATGTTCAGTAATTGAAGGTGACTTGAACTTGTGGTAGTCATCTGGGATGTTTCCCCATGGGATACCATCCACAGTTCATAGAGCAGGTTTTCATACATGGGAGAACAGCTACTTATGCATATATTTAAAATGCATTTACTGAGCATATATTCTATGCCAAGGCATTGTGCCCCAGCATTGGGGAAATGCCCCAAGTAACATGTGATACTAACTTCATGAGATTTATACTCAAGGATAAAGATGGCTTCTGAAGAGAAGAAAACACAGGGAGCTAGGCTGATTTTGTGTCCCACAGGACAAATATATGAAGCATGTTCCACCAAAGGATGCAGTTGGAAGGCCACAAGGCAAATATCAGGATCATGGCTAGGGAGGAATTTGAGGAATGCTAAGGTCAGAGCGAACCACATTTAAACTAATTAGCAGAAACTTCTTTCCCTGTGGCTTTCATTTTTTCTAAGCTTTCTCTAGAAACCTTCACTATTTAAAACAAGTTTTCTATCTCTCAAACCATCTCTTTGAAATATTGCAATGTAACATTTTCTTGGTCCATGCCTGTTTATTGTTCAGTTGCGTAAATACTATATGATAAGTGCTATGACAGAGGTAAGATCAAGATACTGGAAGAGTGCAGAGGAAGAAATATCTTCCGAAGTCTTAGCAGGGGTTGGGAGAAGAGCATGTAAAGGACAGCTTGCAGAAGGAGGTGATGCCAGAGGTGATTTCTAAAGGTGGACTAGGAAATCATCTGTAGACCACAGAAGCAGGGCTTGCTAGGCAGAGGGAGTAGCACATGCAAAAGCATGGATAATGAGCAAGCACATTTCCAATACCTGGCCCACAGGAAGGCTTGTTGATGTCTCAAATAAAAAGTAAAAATGAATCATGAATGCCAGGGGCAATCAAGGTGTTAGTGTGAGGAGCTGACATACAAAGCCAAAGAGGGAAATGGAGAGGAGGATTGGTTGCTAGATAACCGAGAAGAAAATGAGACAGACAGATGCTAAAAACAATAATCCCTCTTCATCCCAGAGATTCATTCTAATAGCCCCAGGGATGCTGAAACTGCAGATAATACCAAACTATATTTTTTTCTGTTTTTCCTATATATCTGTATGATAAAGTTTAATTTATAAATTAAGCACACTAGGAGATTAGCAATAGTAACTAGTAAGAAAATAGAACCATTATGATAATATACTACAATAAAAATTATGTGTGTGCTCTATCTTTCAAAATTTCTTATTTTACTATACCTATGCTACTTCTTATGAGATGATACAATGCCTATATGTTAAGATGAAGTGAGGGCAATGCTATAGGCATTGTGACATAGCATTAAGTTATTATATAAAGGTTACTTGAACACAAGTACTTCTATACTGTGACAGTCAATCTGACAACCAAAATGGCTATTAAATGACTAATGGGCAGGTAGTATATATATAGCATGGATACACTGGACAAAGAGACAATTCATCTCCAAGGTGGATAAAGCTAAATGGCACAATATTTTATCATGCTACTCAAAATCTGTGCAATTTAAAACTTTGGAATTTTTTATTTCTGAAATTTTCCATTTAATATTTTTACCCCACAGTTGACTATGGGTAACTAAAACTGCAGAGAATAAAACTATGGAAAAGGGGGACTGCTGCAAATCATTTTTTTTCATGGGTAATATGATTATATATATCGTAAAATCCAAATGAATACACAAAACTTGGAAATTAAGAAGTTTAGCAAGGTCTCTGGATCCAGGATGAATATTTAAAAATCAGGGACTTGGGATGTAGCTCAGTGGTAGTGCACTTGCCTACCATTCACAAGGCTCCAAGTTTAATTTTTGCAAGAGAAAAAAATTAACTGTATTTCTACATGTTCACAATGGACAAATAGAAAATGAAAGATTTTAAATGTAATTTATAACAGTATCAAAACGTAACAAAAGATGCACAAGATACCTATACTGAAAATCATAAACTATTTCTGAGAGAAATAGTAAAAGACCTAAAGGAATAGAATGAAATAGTCACCATTTGTTTCTTGGGAAAGACTAAATATTATTATTATGTCAGTTCTTCAAAATTAATTTATAGATTCAATTCAACATAATAAAAAAATCAGCAGGGTTTTTTTTCTGGAAATTTATAAGCTGACTCCAAAATACATCTTGAAATGCAAAGGATTTAGAGTAGCAAGGCAATCTTAAAGAACAAAAAGGATTGACACATCCCCAATATCAAGATATATTATTCTAGAAAGCTACAATAAACCTTGCTCTAATTCAATCTTTTTAAGTCAAGTTACTATCCCTGAAATAGGCATTATGATCAGACAGTACCTGAACTCCTTGCGCTCTCATGTGGAATGGGCCAGTCTCACCAGAATGCATGGATTCTACATAAAGTGGGAAGAATGAATTAGCTATTGAGGAGGCAACCAGGGTCCACTATAAGATCAACCTTCATTTTCAAAATCTGTTAATTGGACTCAAACCTTGTTGAATAAGAATTTAACAAGCAGATAGAGGAAAAGAGTGTCTAAATAGAAAAGCTTGCACAAAAATAGAAGTGTGGTATTAGGTATCCTCAGGATCTGCAGGAAATTCCATGTGATGGAGCCTCTGGACATAGGGATAAGACTAGTAAAAGAAAAGACTGGAAATGCTCAGATTCCAACCTGTAAGTATTCAGACTTTATCCTATAGAATTAGATAACCAAATGTGGTTTTGCAATGAGGCCTAACAACCTGGAATAGGGAGAGATGTTGAGGAAGCTGTCTAGAGTTAGCAGGAGAGAAATGACGGTGCCCTTATCAAAGGCAATTGAGACCAGCCGGCACCAAGTACTGAAGAGCTGTTAAACTTGGCCCTGCTCATGCATGATTTCATTGAATGTTGGCAACACCCACTTGAGAAAGTTCTATATCTTACTTTTATAGATGAGGAAACAGGTTTGGAGAGACTAGGTAACTTGCTTAGATTCACACTACTAATAAGTAGTGGTGCCAGAAGGTATTAACACAGCTCAGCTGACCACAGACCCTGCTCTCAACCATGATACCAAAGACTGGGGGCATGAGAGAGAGGAAAGTTCCAACCAGAGGTTCAGCCATTAGGCTGTGGTTGTAGCTGGGGCAATTGCTTGCACGAAATAGCACTGCCATTGTTTTCTTCCTCTCTTAATGAACCTTTCTGGTTCCTTCACTGGCTCCTTTTAACTATGAGCTGGTTTCTGTTCTTTCTTTTCTGAACACTTACTTAAGTCTTTCGGAGGTTGTTTCCCCTAATGGCTTCATCCATCAACCTTTATGTTGATTTGACCCAAATCCCTGTTTTCCATTTCCAATTTCTCATTCACAGTCCTAACGGTCATTTTGACTTATCCGTCTATGCTCTCGTCACCTAAAGCCCATGTCTAAAATTAAACTCATATTTTACTTCAGTTTCTCTTGGTGTAAAACTAGTTTTCTGGGCTTTAGCGTATTTGACCCTAACATTCCTTTACCTTTCATGCTGTTAGGTAACCAGTGAGTAGATTCCTCTGCATTATTATCTTAAGATTCATCTCCTCCTCCTCCTAGCCTTTACTCCCATTCTATTAGCTCTCAGTTATCTCATGCCTAAATTAGTGAATTTGTTTTCTAAATGAATGTGTTTTTCTGTTTCCTATTCTGCCCTGCATTTAGTCTACCTTATATTAATCCACTTGGTGTACTACCCCCAGAGGAAAACGTTGCTCTGAAATTGATTTCATCATTTACTTGCCTATTCGAGAACTACTGGTGGTGGCTCTCTGTTACCTATGAATCAAGATGACTGAATTAGGTTGGGTGCAGTGGTATGGACTCCTGAAATCCCAGTGATTCAGGAGGCTAAGGAAGGAGAATTGCAAGTTCAAGGCCATCCTGGGCAACTGAGTCAGTGCCTATGGGCTTAGCCCCCAGTACTAAACAAACAAACAAAAAACCCCAAAACCTGAATCTGCTCTAAACCATTCTCTGCATAAAATTTGAGGCTCCTGCACTGCCCCATTTCACTTATTTTTATGAAACTCCAACTACTTCAAATTTGAATGCTGCACAATAGTCAGTTGTCTTCTCTCTCTCATCTCCCCCTCCCCCGCCCCAACATCCTCTGTACACCTTGTTTCCCTGGCCGAAGATGCCTCCTTCTTACTGTTTTCTAGATCCATACTCCAAATGACTTTTGCCCTGATGGAGTCACAACAAAACCTCCCTCCTCTAACTTCTTTGTTATTTCCACTGCTCAAGAGTTCATGCATTGTCTTCTCCAAATATCTGGGTCAAACCTTCTAACACTTTATTGTGCTAATATAGAAAACGTCTGTTCACTACTCCATCTTATTTTCCCAGCAAGATAGGAGGCTTTAATGGTCAATTCAAAATTATGGCTTCTACTTTTTTGCAGTTATACTGTCTATGATAATATTCAATAAATTCCTGTTATTGGTTGAAACTATAAACACATGAGTATTTTGTGCTGTGTATATCCTTGTAAGCTTAGTAGTTTATCTGAATAATAGGAAAATACAGTTACTGTTCCCCTATTTTAAGGGGCTATTTCCACTAAAATTGAAAATGCAAATATTTCCAAATGTTTAAGATATTCTGTTTTCTATGTTCAAACTAACTACTGTTATACCTTTTAGCGAAATATTTTTAATTATTCTAGAAGAAAAGGGAAAAAAAGCCTCTGAAGGCTAACAGTTGAAATTGAACAGTACACCCTGGGGAAGGGAGAAGGTCATGGGTCGTCTTCAAACAGACTAAAAACAACGGAGACGATTGTGCCTGAAGATGGTGTATTTTTTTTTCACGAGACAGTGTGTTGACAGTTTCCTTCCTCTTGGGTCATTGTTGTCTGCTAAATGATCTGTGACAGAAAATTGATCACAAGCTTTTCCACGCAGGAGATATAATGCAGCCTTTCATTTTGTTACCTCTGTTGCCAAATGCTGAAACATTTCATTGGCAAATTAATGTTAGTTTAGTATATCATTTAGTGGGGTAAATCACAGCATGCAGCTCTGGAAGTAATAATAGTAATGATTAATTTATCTTTTCCAAGTTTCAGATTTCTACTTAAGTGTGAATGGGAAAGTAATAACACATTTGAAAAATGTTAGTCTTAAAACTAGGTGTCTGTAATTGTTACTTAAACAAATGAATGCATTAACACGTTTAGATATTGCTCCATTAATTTCAAAATTGGGTCAAATATTTACTTCAAGGTACCTATGATTCATCTATAAAAATTAATGCTAAAATATTCATTCTAACTGAAAAATTGCTTCTTTTTCCAAAGAGCTAGGAACTTAAAAATCAGAAAACAAGCATAAAATAGTTTACATTTAATATTTAAACATCTATTTAAGTCATTCAGTTGGTGATTTTACACATCTGAAAAATATCTCTAAGCAATATTTTATTTATAGATTATTAAGAATTTCTGCACTCAAAAAGTTTGTAGTAAAAATACTTGGAAATACAATTGTTTAGAGACTGTTTTGCAGTGCCCATTTAATACTATATTATGATCTTTGCCCTCCTATTAGCACATAGTAATATTGACAAAAGGAAGGAAAAGTACAGGCAGAAGGATTAAAAAAGAGTTAGGTTTTTTCCTTTTTTTGAAAATTACCAGACTGTAAAAATAAAACTAAAATCCTATTGTTTTTTATTCTCTCTTCATTAAGAAGGAGGAAATAAAGGTGATTTTACTGAAATTTGACATAAAATGCAAGAAATTTGTTTACTGCAGAGTGAGAAAATGTACAGGAATAATACTTTGCTTAAAGTTCTCTTTTATTGTTAGATGTAAGATAGAGGTCATAAACTTATATTTTTCTTTTTATTCAGATGGGTGCACACTTACGTTCATTAATGAAAAATGATTTGGACAATTTTCTTTTCTGTTATTTGTATTCATCTGAGGGTGAAATTCATCTGTTAGATTTACATATTAGAATTGCTTGTTAGAGGGACTAGGGTTGTGGCTCAGTGGTAGAGTGCTTGCCTAGCATGTGCGAGGCACTGGGTTCGATCCTCAGCACCACATAAAAATAAATAAAATAAAGGCATGTGTCCAACAACAATCAAAAAAATATTTTTTTAAAAAAGAGAATTGCTTGTTAGAATTTGCATATCAGTCCAATGTCTTATGACAAGATATTATCTGAATGATCCACTCTGATAAAAATTTTTAAAAAATATTTATTTTTTAGTTGTAGGTGGACACAATACCTTTATTTTATTTTTATGTGGTGCTGAGGATCGAACCCAAAGCCTCACGCATGCTAGGCGAGCACTTTTCCTCTGAGCCACAACCCCAGCCCCCACTCTGATAAATTTTGAAAAGCAAATTTACAAACTACTCATTGTCTGATTTTTATTTATATTTTCAGATCAATTAAATCCATCTCATTTAATGATTACTACAAGACATGGTCTAGAATAGCCACATCCAAAGCGACAGAATCCTACAGAGCTCCACGTAAGGTGATCTTGCCTTATCCTCTATCCTTTTGGTGTACATTCATTTGTTCATTATTCTCAGCTTGTCTTGATTTCAAAGGCTAATTGCAACATATCTGCTATGTAAGAGCAGTAAACTTGTCTGCTAGATCTATATACTATTCATTCAACAACTATTAATTTAGTTCCTCTTTTGTGTGGAGCCCTGAACTAAAGTCTGATTAAAAGCCAAGAAGGAAAGATAGGCAATTGGAAGAATAGAAGACGAAGTTCTTAATTTTATGAGGTTTATCTAACTCCCTTCACCCCAGAAAGAAAGCTTTGCAGCAGGAGGAGACTTTAAAATTCTAAACACAATTATCCTCTAAGCCAGAGGAAGAATTAAGTAGAAATTCAGAGAGAAAAACGTAAGAACCTAGGGGTGTTTGATTATATCAGTCTAAGAGGAAAAATCAGCTGTTATCATCACACATACAGAACAAAAAGACAGAATGCAAGAGCTGGACACCTTTCCAGTTCCATTTCACTGGATTCTTAGATAACTGTTTCATTATTTGGATCTAAGTGGGTTAAGAATTTGCCTGAGCCATCCTACTGACATGATGGTGCATTCTGAAGCTAGTAGAGTGACTTCCTAAGATTCAGGGGGAACTTTTAGTCCATCTCTCAAACTCTCATCAGCTATGTTCTCCTGGCTTTATATGATACCATACAACCATGATTTTCTTCTTTTGAGCACTCCTCTGCCCTTTTCCTTAAAAAATAACTTCTTTTTTTCAATGTTTTCTACCTTCTCTCTGAAAGACCTCTTCTACTGCCATGTTTTGCAGTAGCCTAAAGCCACATCTCAAGCAGAGCCCTCTTCTGAATTCTACATGCATATTTACAACTGTTCATTGGACATCTCATCTACATGCATTATGAGCAGATCATATTTAATATGTCCCAAAGTAAATTCATTCTCTTGCCCCACTCCCTATTCTGTCTTCTGAATTCCTCTCTTGGTCAGTAGGAGATCACTGTTTTTATATTATCTTACCAAAACCGTAATCTGTTTTTATTCCTCTCAGTCTCTCTCATTAAACCTTATTGACTGATTTATCTTAGAATATTATGAATGCTTCTACTCAGCTCCACCCCATGAGCACTGCCTTAATCTGGAGTCTCTTTAATATTTCATCTCATCATCGTGACAGTTTCCTAACTATTACAAAAAGTTGTTAGATTTAGAATTAGAACAAAAAATAGTATTAAAATGAGCAAATACCCCCAAAAGTGAGATACATATTTTTTAAGAAATCACATATTCTTTCAAAAGGTTGGTTACTAATTATTTTGTGATTATTCATTACCTATTACCATCCTCACTTACTCATAGATTAGTGGTGGAAAATAATTTAAGGTGCTTTAAAAATATATTATTATTATTATTATTATTATTATTATTATTATTATTATTATGGTGTTTGGGCCTTGCACAGGCTAGGTAAGCACTCTATCACTGAACTACGTCTCCATTCCAAAATTAGCATCTTTTTATATTGTTATACTGGGTATAAAACCTAGGACCCTGAACACTGTAAGCAAATGCTATGCCACTGAGCTATACCTTAAGCCCTGGATCTTTAAGATAAACAGATTTTTGCAACTCTCTCAGTATAAAGAGTTTTTTATTATTATTTCTGGTACTAGAATACATGAATGTTTAATTTCAAAGACTTGTGGTCAATTCATCAAACATATTTGCTTAGTCAATTCATCAAACATATTTGAGTACCTACTACACATGAGACACTGAGGAGAGAGATGCATTTTAGGGGCAAAAGCCACTTAGTGGCACAAACATGGTGGTAAGAGACATTTGTTGATGCACTCCAGGGAATGACTCCAAGTCAAATTCCTTCAATCAAAAAACAAACTGTTACAGGATGCTACTTTATAGAATAACACATAAATATATAGGGCACTTAGAAACTCTAAACTGCTAGAGAAAAAAATGATAGAAGCACATGCCATGCCTTAAGGAGATTCGGGAATGATTGTCTTACAATAAAGAATAATTGAAAAGTGCAGTTTCTCCCTCAAGGAGTTTGATCCCCAGATTTTTAATTTTGTTGTTTCTACATCTTTCACTAACCAACTACTTAATCCAACCCTCACTGTGAAGACAATAGCTGGTAATGGTTGTTGCTAGCCCAGAAGAATTTCTGAGACTTTAAATCTAGCACTTGGTGCAAGATTTCAGCCACTCTGCCTCTTCTTGCCCCATGGAATTGTTATAAGAGTGTTTCAAGGGTTCACCTTTAATAATAACCAGCACTTAATTAAAAAAAATTAAATGTAAACTTTACATGTGCTGCTGGCCATTTTGTCTTTTGATAGTTCAGCTGGATGAGATCCAACACTATCTTTTTTTAATGGCCTAATTTCCTGGCAATAATAAAGATGAAGCTCATAGATTATAGAATGCTTCTTCAATGACTCAGAAATGAAAGGGAGACTTCTAATAACTTCATTTTCTACAGTTATATTCTTGTCAATGGTAAGATTATTAAACTCTTGTGTATCCTTTTAAGAGCTGTATGTTTTATGAATGATGAGTAGTTATATTTTTATTTGGGGGATTAACACTTTCCCATACCTTTGTGCCACAAATACCTGCATAGTCATGGATGCCATAATAAGTTTGTTCTGGCATAACACAGTTTATAAAATGTGCCCACCTAAATTAAGTTTTGAATCACTCCAGCATATCATCGGTTAATTCATTTATCCAGGCAGTATTCATCAAACACATATATGGCATGCATGTGGTATATCAACCCTATGAGTTAGGTATTATTATTATTATTATTATTATTATTATTATTATTATTATTTTTGGCCTGTTTTACAGAAAACCAAGACCAGGAGAAGCTAAGCAATTTAACTAAGATCATACAGGGGAGGGAGAATACCATATTTTGGTAAGGAAGGTAAATTCTGGAGCCAGACTGCCAGGGTTTAATCCTGGCTTTGCAATTTACTAGCTGTATGACTTTGGGTAAGTTTCCCACTCTCTGTGTCCATGTTCCCTCATCTACAAAGTGAGAATAATCACAGCACATACCTCATAGGGTTGAAACATTTACAACACGACTAGCACTTGGTGCTCAATAAATGTGCCTATTCTTAATTAAGAAGGCTGTGGTCCAAATACTGGAACCATATCCTTTGACTCCTCATGTGTTACTCTATCACACTACACTGTCTTTATGACAGCAAGTTATCTCTGTATAGTATGAGATTTAAATTCATCTCTGCAATATAGGCAAAACTTTTATCAATAATTATAATTTTTTTGTACATAATCATAGGCACTCATATAGGGAAGTGAACCAATGACCCACTGTTCTCTGTCCATCACTATGGAATGGCTAATAAAAGGTTTGGCAGAGAACAAACCAATACATATGGTTGTGGGCAACAGCTCCTTAACTACAGAATATGATCTCCATAAGGAAATGTTTATGTTAGGGAAAAGAATTCCCTCAGACAAGTGTGATCTGTAATATTGAATGTAGGCATCCCAAAGTTTGTTTGCCATATTCAAGACAAACCAAACGGCCTGGAGCATCAGGGGGATGCTTGCCTTCACCCTAGGAGTCTTTCGTTAACTTTGAGTGTTTGAGTCTGCAGTGAGGGCAGGTGTCTCCCAAATGCCTTTAGGTGCAAGAGGCAGTCTGTTTCCAGTGCAGTGGTTCTAGGCTTGACTGCTCATTAGAACCACCTGAGGAGCTTGTAAAAATTCCAACATAAAGGGCACACCCCATACCAATTCCATTAGGATCTCTGGGAGAAGTACCAGGCAGTCGTCGTTTTTTAAAGCTCCCAAGGTGACTGCAATGCAGACTGGGAAGGTTCTGCTGGGAAGAGTATGATGTCACAAGTTAGCAACTCAGCCCTGTCCTAGTTGGCCACAAACAGATGCGTGAGTTCAGGATAGTCTCTCAACTCTGTGCTCCTCATCTTCCACTTCTACTGATGGACAAAAGCATGCCACCCTGCTTTAATTTGCTCCATGATTAGAATAAGACAGCATTTGTGAAAATAAAACACACTGAGGCAAGTTGGAACTGTTATTTTCCTTGAATGTGATACTTCCAGCAGGCAGAAAATCTCAGGTCAACTTCCACTGATATTGGACAGAAAGGGTGTCATGAAAACCCAGAGTAGCAAAGGGTAGCTGGGTTCGATGCCCAGCATCATAAAAAACACACAAACACACACCTGAGTGGAAACAATGCCCAGTAAGCCTTAGAAGGCACAACAGAAAATGATCCTATTTTATGGAAATAATTGAGAGGATGCTTTTCAACCACAGATTATCAGACTGCCGCCATAGAGGCAAGAAGTGGTAGAAAGGAATTTCAACTTCTAGAAAATTTGTTAAAAAAGGAAGCCCCAAGCCAGGTGGTGCGAAGTGGTAGAAAGGAATTTCAACTTCTACTAAATTTTCACTTATCCTTTCTTCTTTGTTTCTCTGCCATTCCCCTGCCCTCATTCCTTCACCATTTTCTCCAATCAGCATCATTCATTGAACGTCTGTATCTAGACAGTTGACTGTGTGGGGATGTGAAGACACACACTGTGATCAGCCCTTTGAGAAGTTTACAGGAAGGCAGTGGGAGATAAGTGAAGGGATAAAATATGAGAATCATTGAAATGAAAGTTTATACAAAATACTGTGGCATTTTCAACTCAGGTGTGAGAGAAAGCAATGAAGAAAATGAGTCAATGATATAAATGAATAAACAAACAAACAAACAAACAAATAAAACTGATGGGACTCTTCAAGAAAGATGACCTTGCCATTTGAGTTTTTTAATACATAAGGAAGAGACTGCCTGCCATACATATTCAAATATGAAATGAAGGCCAAAAAATTTTTAAAAGAAAAGATATGTATTATTCTTGAATAGAAACCTCAAAGGAGATGGCATTCACAAGAGAGTAAATTTAAAATTTTTACAAAGCATAATGAACAGTCCCATCTAAAGTATATTACTTCACATTTCTATGTCTGTTTGTTCATCTGTAAGTAGGTAGGACACTTGCCTATCATGCATGAGGCATTGGGTTTGATCCTTAGCACAACATACATGTAAAATAAAAATGTTGTGTCCACCTAAAACTTAAAAAATAAATATTTTTTAAAAATGGTAACTGCTACATACCTACTCTACATGTGCCCAGCACAGAGTAAACATTTCGTAATCTTATTATGATTATCTAAAGGAAATTATGGTCCCTCACTAGGAACTCTGAAGAACTCAGATTTGCTTTTTTAATGGAAAGGAGAAGAATATTATTATTAATATTAAAAGTATTAATAACTAATCAAATATTAATATAAAAAGTAGTAAAGTCTATAAGAATATGTATATATGTATGTTTGAGGCAAGAAAAGAAATTTAAAAATAGATAGGAGCATTGCTGGTGAAAATCATGTAATTTATTAGAAGAAAAGAACTGTTCAGTTTAAATCTTTTCTTCTATCGATGGCAAATGTCATCAGACTAACAGGAACTATTAATCATTGTTTAAAAAGGAAGACCCCAGCCAGGTGGTGAGGTACATACCTACCCCAGTGACTTGGGAGGCTGAGGCAAGAGGACTCTAAGTTTGAGTCTGGCCCCAGCAACTTAGCAAGACCTTTCAGCTACCACTGTGACTCAGTGGTAAAGTGACCCTAGGTTTAATCCCCAGTACCAAAAAGAAAAAAAAGGAGCCCCCAGATAAAGGCAAAACTGGTGAAGAGCATCTAGCTGGTTCAATAGGCCAACTATAAACTCAGAACAATGATAAGGAAGGAAAAGATAGATAGATGGATGATAGAGTCTATATAAATATGTGATTTGGATTAATAGTATTTCTTTTTTAATGAATTCTTTCTTTATTAAAACATCTTAATCTAAGCTATGTTAAAAAAAACACAAGATTGCAATCATTTTTTCAGTTTTAAATCTTTTTTACAGCATGTTGAAAATTCCTGCACATAAGACTATTATAGAATGCAACTTTTACTTTTATTCATATATTATTTGAAAACATGAAGATGGAATGACATTATTTAGATACCTTTCTGTTTCAGAAAGCCCACAGTGATGAAACATTGCTAAGTTATTTGATTATCTTAAGAGTATGGTTATTGAAGATATTCTGCCTTCTAAAATAGGAACTTAAATTCAAATAAGCAGTAGTTCAAATTTTCTTTTTTTTTTCCCCCATTGGTATGTTCTATTTTCAGAAATTTTTATTCAGGTCCTTTATTAACTTTTAAATCCTACTATACTTTGTTTTTCATTTTTTAAAATTTGTTCTTTTATTTATTTTTTTGTTCTTTTTAGATATACATGACAGTAGAATATATTTTGACATGATACATACATGGAGTATAATTTATTGTAATTAGGATCCCATTCTTGTGGTTGTACATAATGTGGAGTCAAATTTTCTTTTTAAATTTTTATGTTTGTTGTTTTTAGATATACATGACAGTAGGGTGTATTCTGACATATTATACATATATGGAGTGCAACCCATTACAATTTTGAGTCCATTCCTGTGGTTGAACATGATGTGGGATTACACTGGTTGTGTATTCATGCTTGAGCATGGGAAAGTTATGTCTACTTCTACTGTCTTTCCAATTTCCATCCTCACTCCATTCCCTTCATTTCCCTCTGTCTAATCCAGCATACTATGATAATGCAGCCACATCAATGTTTACAGCTTGGCTATTGTGAAATTGAACTGCTGTAAACATTGATGTGGCTGCATTATCGTAGTATGCTGATTTTAAGTCCTTTGGGTATATGCCGAGGAGTGGGATAACTGGGTCAATGGTAGCTCCATTCCAAGTTTTCTAAGGAATCTGTATACTGCTTTCCCGAGTGGTTGCACCAATTTGCAGTCCCACCAGCAATTTCCCTCACATACTTACCAACATTTGTTGTTTCTTGCATTCTTGATAATTGCCATTCTGACTGGAGTGAGATGGAATCTCAGTGTAGTTTTAATTTGCAATTCTCTAATGGCTAGAGACGTTGAGAATTTCTTCATATATTTTTGACATTTGTATTTCTTCTGTGAAGTGTCTCTAGCTCCCTTACCCATTTGTTAATTGGGCTATTTGTTTTTTTGCTATTAAGTTTTCTGAGTTCTTTGTGTATCTTAAAGATTAATGCTCTGAGGTGATGGTGGTAAAGATTTTCTCCCATTCTGTAAGGTCTCTGTTCATGTTCTTGATTGTTTCCTTTGCTGTGAAGAAGCTTTTTAGTTTGATGCTATCTCATTTATTGATTCTTGATTTTACTTCTCGTGCTTGAGGAGTCTTGTTGAGGAAGTCTGTGTGAGCCAATATGATGGAGAATTGGGCCTACTTTTTCTTCTAGTAGACTCAGGTCTCTATTCTAATGTCTAGGTTCTTGATCCACTTTGAGTTTTGTGCAAGGTGAGATATTTCATGTAAAATTTACTAATGTCTTAATCATACTAGGTTTTCAATAAATTTGATGTAAATTTGATTGAAGACATAAGCTTTATAATCAATCACAAACTTATAAGCCAGTGATTGTAATGTGACTACAAATTAAGCCAACTTTATATAAGTATAGCACACAAATCAAGGGAGGTAGTAATTCCACTTGCATCTTTGCTGTTCAGATTAAATCAAGATCCTGATCCATTTCTGGAGTGTGTGTGTGTGTGTGTGTGTGTGTGTGTGTGTGCTAGGAATTGAACCCAGGGCTTCGTTGCATGCTAGGCATGTGTTTTAACCCTGGGCTGCTCTCCCAGCCCTGCACATAAATTTTAACAGAAACACCAACAAAGTTTGCCATCAGAATGATGAAGATGGTTGTCTCTAGGACATCATGTCCTAAGAAAAAGTTGAAGGAGCTGAGACTTCCTTGAAAGCTATCCTCAAATATTAGAAGGCTGTGTCCTATTAGGAAAGGAACCAGCCTACTCATTATTGCTCCAGAGGTCAGATTGAGGATCAATGGTAATTTGCAGCACTCAGATGAAGGGAGGAAATCGTAGCTCTCATTATTGTATCTGCCAAAAGAATGGGCAGCTTCCCAACAACACAATGGAGTGTTTTCTGTCATTGGCAAAGGTCAGATCTTGATGAATATGTTTGGTATTCTTGCTTTGTGAAAGATCAAGATCTGCAATGTCCTTTCCAACTCCAATATTTTATTTTTCAACTTGAATGCTAAATTAGAAACTTGTTAAACTACAATGTCTGTGGTTTTTATGAGACATCTTTTATTTAATATGCAGATCTCACAGTGTTACACAGGCTGGCCTCAAATTCACAATCCTCCTGCCTCAGCCTCCTTTATAGCTGGGATTAGAGAGATACTGTGCCTGGCTATATGAGTTCTCTTAATACTGTCTTTATTACTATTGCCGAAAAGCAAAATTTCAGCAAATTTAATGACCACGTTGATTTTTGTTAGTGATTCTTTAACTACATCTCTTCTAAAGAATAAATAAGTGCTCCACGGGGTATGGCCAAGCAGGTTGATTTTACAAGGCAGCTAGAACAGGAACAAGGGAACAATAATGCCAAAAGAAGATTGGGCTAGGCATGGTGATGCATGCCTATAATCCCAGCTACTCAGGAGACTGAGGCAGGGGGATCACAAGTTTGAGACCAGCTGGGGCAATTTAGCAAGGTCCTATCTCAAAAATTTAAATGGGCTAGGGCTGTAGCTCAGTGGTAGAGCACTTGCCTAGCATGTATGAAGTCCTGGGTTCAATCCCCTAGTACTACAGAAAGTGGAAAAGAAGATAAGAAAAAAGGTGGATTGATTATTCACACTGCAGGTTCTGGTTTATTGGGTCCCTTCTGAGTGGTTCCGTAATCTTTAGTTTTGGTTGGTGGGTGGAACTGGTCAGTTTGGGAATTTTCCTTCTTCCTTAAAGTTTCAGTTTGACTGCATAGTACTGGGGTTGAGTAACTGCATTTTGGTTTGGTCTGTTGGGGCCTAGTGCGAGATCTCAGCCTAAAACGAAGGTCTCCCATAAATTTTATTTAACAACATAAATGATATATAAACAAATGTCATTATATTGAAAATAACTTTCAGTTCACAACCTACTCATTTCATGTAATATTGAATATTACAAAGTTCCAATAAAAGGAAGAAATTTGGAAAGTTTCTGAGCATTGTAATATGATTTGATCTATATGGTATATATCATTGCCCCATAATGACTTAATGAGAAATGAGTTATTTTCAACTTTTAACAGTTGTTAAAGAATCTGTGCTGTCAAGATCATTGTATAGTCTTGAGCAACTAATAAAAAAAAAACGAATCTATGCATAGCTCCTTATTTTAATACTCTAATTTCAGTGCTTGGAGATCCACATTTCATTGGAGAGTATTATAAATGGAAGAAAACTGATAAAGGACATCCTAAAGAATGGAAGTTAAAGTAAGAAATTTCAAATGCCTTGAATGGTATTATTCTATTAACTTGAAATATCCATCATTCCACTTTCTATTATCTAGCTGAACCATCAGAAGAAACTCTTGGAAATAACAACTTAAAAGCATAAAAACAATAATAAAGTATCATTTCTCCCTTTCATATTAACCCAGGTAGAAAACATCTTTTCTCTATTGGCTGCTGAAGATGGGGAAACTATGTGAACCACAGTGAAGAAATCTCACAACACCTTCCCCTTAATTCTCTTATTCCCACCCGCTCTTGTTCATGTCTTTATCAACATGCAACTTAGAAATAGTAAAACAAAACAAAACAAAAAACTGTTTATATATGACCAATTAGATTTTCACCCTTCTCATAGCTCCAAGCATCTTTTTTTTCTTCCAAAGATTTCTCACTTAGGAACCAAATACATTAACTCCGATGAGGAAGTATGTAGTAAAATGCAAAAATAAATTATTATGATATCTTTGGAATCCTTGATCTTAGACCATTATTAAGGAAGGGAATTTAATCCATTTTTGACTTTTGGCTCCTAAAGGCAGGCGTGCCAGAGCATACACCCCCCTCTGGATTCACAGAGTGGGTTGGAGTCATTTGGTATTCTGGTGTGTCTTTTTTTCAAGGTGCTCAATAAACGTATTACATAAAACCAGGGGAGTGAAAGATTTGATATTTTTAAATTTATTTCATTTATCTTTTATCATTTACCTTTTTATTTCATTGACCTTTCTATCATTTAATTCTTTTTAAATTAATTTTTAAATTTTATATATGAGAGCAGAATGCATTTTAATTCTTATTACACATAGAGAGCACAACTTTTCATATCTCTGGTTGTATACAAAGTATATTCACACCAATTCATGTCTTCATACCTGTACTTTGGATAATAATGTCCATCACATGCCACCTTCATTGCTAACCCCATGCCCCCTCCCTTCCCTTCCCTTGCCACCTTTCTGCCCTATCTTGAGTTCTGCTCTCTTTTTTCCAGGTGGACATACAGGACCTATAAAAATAATGGGCTGTATTTTGAATTTGTGTAGAAGTTGCAGTTCTTAAAATAAACTTTCCTTTATTTAACGTTCTCGTTCAGATTGGATGTTTTAGTTGGACTTTTTTTTTTTTCCCTTAGGTGACCTCTGCAACAACTTATCTTCAAGCCAAAGCAGAGGAAAGCTTTTGAATTCGATACTTTTCTACTTTCAGGATAAATTATAAGCAGAAGAGAAGTTCTTATTAGACACAGTTTGAATGAGAACAAGTGTTTTTGTTTTGTTTTGTTTTCCCTTAAAGACAAATTTCAGTTTTCTTTTAGAGTTGAGGACACTTACTTAGAATATGAGGTTAATTTTGCTTTGACATGACTTCCTTTTTTATTTCCTTTAATGGAACTGCTTTGTTTTATTTGTTTGATCACTGATTCATTATGTAACACCAGTATCCCACAGAACCCAAAGGTTTAGAAAAAGTAGGACCATGTTATTTTCAACTTACTCACCCACTTCTACATATGGCAAAAATAATTGTGAGCTGTTTGAGTGCTAGAACATTCTTCCAAGTACATTATTTTGAAGTTATAGGTCAAGTTATCATGTGCACAGTGACCCTGTCAGAATAAAACTCTCACACCTAATGCCATCTGGTGGTTGATGAGAATATATTTAAATCAAATGATGCTTCTTGTGAATTTTGGAAGTGATTAGTCAAAAAAAAAACAACTTTTCATAAAGTTTTTAAAAGTTACATTTTATTGTGACATAAATATTTGAACTTGCAAATGTGAAGAAGTATAGTAAAAACTTAAAGAATGGTGAAATTAGATTTCTTTTCAGAACAAATTTTGTGTTCATCGAAATACGCAAGGTATGATGAAGTGGCCAATTTATAGAGACTTAAATGACAAATATGTGGGGAATCTATGCAAGTGAGTCATCAGGTCTGTTTGTACACACAGTATTTGCTATTGAGTATCTCTGCTTTAATATATATTTGAAAATGCTTTCCTTGCACAGACATTTCCTGTTTAAGAAAAACAGAAAAATGCAAGTTAGGAATATTTTATTTGCATAGTGTAAAGGAAAAAGACTTTTTTCTTTACTCCTGTCACTGTCTTGTCCTCCCCTATAGTCCTCCCCTACCCTCATCAATCAATTCCTGATTCTTAAGCAATATGAGATTTGTCTTACTCTTATTTGGGAACCTAACATCTCTTCCCCATTTGTGCCTTCTGCCTGAGGTAAGTTTCTCAGCAGTGTCTTTGCTGGTGACCCAGAGTTAGGATTTGGTCTAAATTAAATGACAGGGCATAGAGTACATAAGTTCAGGGCACTAGAGCCAGACTGCCTGGATCTGAGTTCTGGCCCTGCCAATTACCAGCTCTGTGACCTTGAGAGAGTTCTCTGACTTCTTTGGGCTTCCGCTATATCTGTTAGCAGTTAATAAGTGTACTTCTCCTACAAAGAGGCTATGAAGAAAATAAAAATTAAAACATGTAAATGCTTATAATGGTGTCTGGCACAAGGTAGGTATTCACAAGATGTGCTATTATTCGTGCCTTTTCTGCTGAGGCCATAGTTCAGTTCACAGATGGAAAATTTTTCTCTGGAAGCAGCATGGGAAAGAGCATGGGCTTTGGAGTCAGACAGATCTGGGAGAAATTCCTACCCACCCTGAACTTGTTTCCTCATCCATTACATGGAGATAATGTGACCTACCTGGCCAAGTTGTTGTGCACTGAATCTCTTGAATGAGATCATACATTTAAAACCATACAGTATGGTACAGAAACATTAGCTCTTGCAGAGAGGGGAAGATGAAAGTTCATGCTTCCAACATTTTAGAGAACAAAAATCATCTGTCAGAAATATACAAAGATTAGAAAATTTTGTCAGGCTAGAAAACAACACCCACCATGGCCTCATTTATGGTAGGACCCATGATGCCTGTGGCTCCTTTATCCTTCTCTTTGCCTCCACTTGCCTTGCTCCTAACAAAGTGTTTCACAAGCATGACATGAAGATCCAACTCAAACATCTCTTTGTGAAACTGTACCTGACATGCTCAGGCATCCCCAGGTCCCCTGTCCTCTCTTCCTGTAGTGCCCTTTCCTTGTCTCTTTCAAAACCTGTGGTGCAGAAATTCCTCTGTTCACAGTGAGTGACCAGGACAGGGCCATCGGTATACCTTTGTATTCTCCATACTTAGCATGGTGCCTGGCAAATAGTAGGCACTCAACTAATGTTTTTTGAAAGGCACATACTTATCCTGTTTCTCCTTAAGATTAAATGTGAAAGCAGTTAATTTTAGGAAAAATAAAATTTAGCTGTAGACTTCTATTAAGGCCCCTTCTAATGTAGACTCATTGTTCTATTTTAGGAGTATTAGGGTATAGTGATGAATGGAATAAAAACTAGAAATATAAATGACTATCTTGAATATTTTAGACAGGTTATGGAACTTTACACATGTTTTAGTTACTATTAACAGATACTGATTGTCATACTAATCAGTTCATAAATATTCATTAACTAATCATTTTTGATATTCATTTCTACTGTTTTTTTTTCTTTCCCGGTGCCCTTACTGTCTCTTGGATCTTCCTGCAAATGCTTTTTTTCTGTCAAGATGTAGGAAAGAATGTAATCCAGAATCTAATCAGCAGATTGTATTTATTTTCTCTAGAAAAATAGTGAGAGAAAGTAATGAAAGCTGTTCTTTTGAGTGTTCTCGCTTATGCACATATAAAATTGTGTTGTGCTCTACAGTTAATGATTGCTTATGCAAAAACAGAGAAATCTGCATCAGTCATCTAAGTTTTGGCAGCCATCAAGTTTTCTAAAGAAAAGTTACTAATTCTGGTGGAGTTTTACATTCAGTGTAGCTTTAGAGAAGAACATTGCTCTTGCCCATAAGCAGAGGTGTAGAGGGAACAGGAAGTAGTAACATGGGAAAGTACCATCACTGTGCCAGGCTCTCTTTATTCCTGAGGTGCTGCTGGCCACCCTGTGGAGTTGACAGTCAGGCTTCTGAGTGTAACCCACTGTGATATAGCCTTCACTTCTTTCAGAGCCACAACTAATTAACCTCTACTCCAAACAACTAATTAACCTCTACTCTAAGTTGCACCGCTTGGCTTGCCCTGATGACAGCTTCAAGGAAGGCTCCTCGCTCCCCTTTTCAACCGAGTTGCCACTCCTGACACTTCCCTCTTGAAAATTCTGTAAAACTAGAAGTGAATGTTATTTATGGTTTACCAACAGAAAAAAATTTAGGCACAAAGAGATTAAGGAGAGCTTGCCTAAGGTTATTGATAAATGCAAATTTTGTTTAAAAATTAAAACAAGTATTTCCTACTTGCTTACTAATATGTACTTTTGCTTAAAATTTTCAGGTAAGTGTAAAATCATGGCCCATTCAACTGCATGCATGCACAAATAAAAATCTGCCTTTTGTGGATTTTTTTTTTTGTCAACATCACGGTTTATTATCTAACAATGTTGCTTCCCTTTTTGTTCATGGAAAAACAATTAACATCTGCTATATGAAATACTAATATAAAACTTTCTTATGTTTATGAAATACACTCTGGTTGTAGTTGTCTTTATAAATTAAGGAGCTAAAACATATACTATTTCTAAGTTGCTTTAGTGTCTGATTTTGTGAATATGTGTTTTAACTTCCAAAAACATGTCATCTTTCTTTTAGTATGCTTAAATTTGATTCCCTTTTCTCCTGGTGTATGGAAAATTTCATGCTGAGTACTTTCATTTAATGTATGTGTTATCCTTTTAGGGGTACTGAATTTAAACATTGTTTTTATAGGTTTACATAATTATATCTAATGCAATTTTTAGGAATTTTTTTATTCCCCAAAGATTAAACCTTGAGTGCCATCTTGTGACTAAAACGGGAATTAACACTATGTTTTAAAATATAGGTTTGTGGGTGAAATGTAGACATATAGACAAAGGGAAAAAAAA